GAGAGAGAGAGAGAGAGAGAGAGAGAGAGAGAGAGAGAGAGAGAGAGAGAGAGAGAGAGAGAGAGAGAGAGAGAGAGAGAGAGAGAGATGGAGGAATAGTACCTGTGTAGCCAAGGAGTGCGAGACCCAGGACTGAAGCCATGAATTCCAGCAGCAGATCTATCCTCAGGCCATTCTGGCTTAACTTTTACTGGTACAGCTCGTCGAAAGAAGCCCCTCCTGCAAAGGTGATTAAAGGATACAATGATACATGAGCATGTCACAGGCGCACGCATATCAAAACAAATGGCGGATGTGCCTAGAATTCACCAATGCATCATGGGAGTCACAGTCTTAAGAAAACCATGTGTTGCCTAAAGGTTGAGGACAGACCATATCAAAGTAAATTCAAATCACATCTTCAAGGCATGCCGCGGCAGATACAGAGCTCCAAGAAGACATAACTTGTAGGAATGGTAAGCAGAACTGCATGCAAACTGCAGTCTTTTTCAGAAAACCAGTTGACCAATTTGCACTTTTGTCCACCAACACCTGTGCTTTGACAGAATCTTAAACCACCAGGCAAACTCAAAACCTCCTACAAATGCGGTACAACCTATACCACATTCTCCGAAGGTCAGTTGCCAATGAACCAAAATGGCTGGTGGCACCAGCCAAAACAAAAAAAGAAGTTTCACTGGCGCTTCGGCACAGCTTGGCGCACAGTTCTTTTCTGACTCAGCAAAATGAAGCTCGGAGGTAGTGGTGGTTTAAGAGGGTGACAATATGATTGGAAGGAGTTGATGTTAGAACAATCTGGCGGGAAGCACTAAGGCTAGAAAGTTGATTGACTGTAATCCATAAAGAAACAGTTAAGCAGCTTTCCTACGTACCGCTGTGGCCTTTGCTGTGCCTGTTTCTGCTTTGCAACGCAAAGAAGTGGAATGTCTGTGGCATTCACAATATAATACTTTGCAAACACTGTGACCTGCATGCGACACAAAACATCGAATACATAAGAAGAGAGCAAAACCAATCAACACAGAACCTGCTTAGTAGGATCCCCACAAAACCACATACCATGCACACCAACCATACCACATGTTGTAGGGATAACACAGGCCCTACAGTGGTCCTCCTCTTCCGCTCATCTCCGGCCTAGGATGATTGCAGCAATGTCACGTGAAACGGTTTTCACCTTTTGCAGACACAGATACTGATCCCAGGGCTCGATCCCCAGACCTCACCTTACCTTACCTTACMTGTGTACAGTATCAAGTCGACCCTGTGAGTCTTTGAACCCGTGACCTGTGTGTTAGTAGTTGAGAGTTGTCTGTCGTAGGTCTGAGTAGATGTCGGGTCTTGAACCTTAGACCTGTCGAAGTCGGGGTCATACCTGCATAGGCGTCATAGTTGTTGTAGTTCTGAAAGGTCAAGGGCGTAGCTGCTACAGTCCTGACAGGTCAAGGTCGTAGCTGCTACAGTCCTGAAAGGCCAAGTCCGCAAACTTCCGGAAGGTCCGGAAGTGGTTTCTTCTCACGTTTTACACAGCAGACCAGAGGCAAGTGGGCAAGTGGTGAGTCCAACTTTGCTTAGTCAGCGGTACCCAGTCCCAGTCTCACTTTGCACAGTCAGCAAGTACCATGAGGGACTGTGTGCACCATGGGTGTTACATACTTCAATGAGTATGGGCAGAACCAAAGATCAACCAATATAGGATGAGCATTTATGCAGCGGAAGTCTGATAACGAACTGACTCACATAGACTGACTCACATAGACTGACCTACATGGCATCACTCCAC